TCTCCTAAAATGCATAAAACGGAGACAAAAGGTAAAACTTTGGTTGTTGATGGATTTAAGCTATCATGAAGGTTTAAGGAAGTAGGTGGAGATTGGAAACTCTAGAATGTTCAGACCCGAAATGCTTCTACTTGTGGGTCTTCCTAATGATGTCCGAGTCATTGCTTTGGGTCTTTCTCTCTAAAGGTATGATTTTTAAATTTCCCTCAACATCTTCGGATTATTGCTGAATATTTCTTGACTTTTGTTCAATAAACCAGACCAACAAAGATACAATACGGTATCGACAACATCCGAGAATGGTTTGGACACAAGGTAATCACAATATTCGTTGTTCTTTGTCGAATCCAAGCTGACTTTTTTCAACCCGATCTGAACTCCGATTTATAGAACGCCCTTCAAAAGATCCCCTGATTATGAAAAACGTTTTGATAACAGGGCATTTCTAAGATCGAAGCTCGAAGTGAATGAAAGGGAGAAGAAAAATTGACAAAATCTCAGATCTGGTTTGGCTTTTGTCTTACTCGCGTTGCTTTAGGTTTCAGCCACATCAGACGATGTTGTTGTTTTGACAGACAATAGCTTCGAGAAGGAGGTCAAGGAGCTCTTGTCGAGTTTTACACTCCTTGGTATGGATCGATTATTCCAATTGTTTTGAATCTTTCAAATCTAAGTAATTCAAGGATTTTGATGCGATCTGTAAATCTTATGTTTGATTTGTTTCTAAATACTTTTGATTTGTGATTGCAGTCTTCTGGAGTGATAGGCATGATTTCTATTAGTATCTAATCGATTTATATGTTATATTGAGCAAATAGGGTAACTAATGTGCTGGTGAATTTCAGAATTCTAAACTTTGAGGAGGAATTTGTTTACCTTATATGCTTTTGAAAGTTTTAAGATGATTTATATGTGTCATTATAGGTGTGGCTATTGCAAGAAACTTTCTTGCTCCAGGGTAAGAAACGCTTGGGGAAAGCTTCAAGAAAGCTAAACCAGTGTTAACTGCAAAGAAAGGTCAGTGTTGTTATAATTTTGTATGAGAGATGATCGATTCTTTAGTTAACTTGTGTATTTGTGGTTGTTAAAGGTGGATTATGATGAGCATAAGCTTGTTTGCTGTAAATATGGTGTTAGTCGATATCCAACCATTCAATATGGTTTCGTAAAGTAAGCATTTAACCGAAGCAAATCTATTATTAGATAAAGTTGAACCCGTAAAGTAAGCATTTAACCGAAGCAAATCTATTATTGGATAAAGTTTTCTTTATTGGATAGTGAGTGATGGTTTTTTATGACAGGTCTGATGGTGCACGCAATGTCGAAGCATTGGCTGGATATGTGAACAAGGAGGTAGTTTTGTTGCTGATAGTACCGATACAAGAGAACCAATTCGGCTTCACTCATAGTGGACGGATCCCATTTTTTATTGTAACTAAAACGGTTCTCGAACTCATTCTAAACCCACTACCAAATTGTATCTTCAAATGAATAGACAAATTCTCTTTACATTTTCGGTCCATTAATACACATAAATGGTTATTCGAACATTTTTTTCACTAATGGGTTTACACTTTACATGTTAAATTAAATTGAAATGGTTTTTTCAAATTAAGATTACCATCTCCACAACACTCGAACAATCTAGAATGTTACTCTTCTATTATTAACATCTTCATCTGCTCTCTCTCCCAACAACACTTAAAGTACAATATTTTCATAAAATTTTAGACTAAAAGAACACTAAAAAAATGTGATATACAAACAAATATTACAACATGTAAATATCAACCAACAAAAGTAAATTACTTCACAAACCATGAATTCAATG